TGTCGCATTATCTTGTTGATTTAGCGTAATAAAATGTTTTAGTCATTATTTTTATCAGCCCAAATGTGTTAATGCAGATATCTTGCCTAACCCAAGGAGCGTTATTTTATATGTACTGATAATCTCCCACTTTGATAACAGCTCGTACCTGTAATGCTCAGCTATATTTGGGCCCAAATTCCTTCCATGACAGACAATTTTTTGCAGTCACGGATGCCTTGGCTTACACTTGTTTCGTAAGATCTACCCGTGCAGTTACAATATCTTAGAATGACTCTCAAAGTGATGTATCATCTAAATCTAACTCATGGTCAATCTCGAAAGATTTTGCTAGAAGTGGTTCTCTTCGTACGCGACAAAATTCTTTGGCAAATCTCACGGAAGATATCGTTATCAATACGATGCCCTTCTTATAAATAACCGGCTCAGTTTTGGATCTGACAGATTATTGAAGAGAGCAAACAAACTATAACCTAACCGTAGTGAGAGTATGTCTGGCGAAGATGCGGGTGTTGCTGCGGAAGTCGCAGCGATCATGTCCAAAGAAGCAGATCATAAATCACAGTACGAAAGGTTTGTTGTACGATCTACTGATTTCTTCTTCAAATCTTCATTTATGATGTTATCATATCGTGTATCAGTAATTACCTATGTAGGCTGCTGGCACTGATGGAAAAAGTTTTCCCGCAAAAGATCAGCACTGAAGCAGATGTAGTACCGCTGGTGACAGTAATGAAATCAGGTTGGTCATCCCGATAGTGGATTTACTTGTAGTGAACACAAATTGCAGTTATTGCGATTGAAGCCGGAAGTCAGGTGGTATCAAGACAGCTAATTACTGCTGTTGTAAGCAAGGTAGAGTCGTACAAATCGGATGAGAAATCACTAAGGATCTTGGCCGAAGCTGTTTTGGGTGTTCTCGACACGACCAGTATCGCTTTTGATGAACAGGTGAAAAACTTAGGTATTCAGACTAGAACATTGCGCGTAAATTTTTGCTTTATAGAAGTGCACCATTCGTACCATTCTGGCTGGTTTGCACGAGGGAGCTGGTCGTTTCGTAGAAGCTGCAGAAACCTTGAAGAAGATCTCCACTGACAGTGCGCAGAGGTACTTGTCCTCTCTGTTCAACCCAGTCCATTCGTCTTGTTTTACTCTTTTTTTCTCATAGACCATGCTCCCCTGCCCAGAAAATGGCTCTTTACCTCCGTATTGGCCGTTTACTGTTGGATAGCGGTGACTGTGCTGAGGCTGAGCAGTACGTGAACCGAGCTAGCTTGTTACAGACTGAGAAAGATTGTGAGAGCTTCAATGTAGAATACAAGGTATGTTGCTGGCAGCCTTATCTTCAAATGCGACTTATATCTACTTAGGCGATTTATGCTCGGGTGTTGGATGGACGGCGCAAGTTCACCGATGCTGCGCAGCGCTACCATGAACTATCCTTAGTTAATGATTTGCCTGAAGCTGATCAGAAAACAGCGCTTTCGCGGTCTATCACATGCACAATTCTTGCTGCCCCAGGTAAATTTTGTCGTTCATGTTGATGCTGATTTTGATTTCATCTTATCTGTCGTTTGCCAGGTTCTGCTCGATCTCGAATGTTGAACACACTCTTCAAAGATCCGCGTGCTGCCCAGCTTCCATCGTTTCCTCTTCTTGAAAAACTGTACTTAGATAGACTGATCAAAGCTAATGAGGTATGTTCGGTAATGAATATTCACAGCTTGCTTAGGCGACTATTTGCAGCTTGTGGAATTCGAGCGAGAGCTGCAACCTCATCAGAGAACCAATGAGCATGGTCAGTCAATTGTCGAAGGAGTCATTGTTGAGCACAACATGACTGCTGTATCGAGACTTTACAATAATATCGCTCTGCCGACGCTGGCTGAGCTGTTGGGAATCTCTGTGGAAAAAGTATGTTGTCGTACATCGAAATTTGAAATAGTCGTTTTTTACTCAAATTGTATCTCATTTTGCTTTTAGTCTAGTGAATTGGGTTGTAGTACATGTTTGCTACACTACAACGAGCGGAAAGAATTGTTAGGATGTGCTGAATAGAAAATTACAGGCTGAAGAGATTGTCGCGCAAATGATCTCTAGCGAACGCCTTGCGGGTCACATCGATCAGCTTGAAGGATTTGTACATTTTGAGCGTAAGTTGATTGAAACTTATAAGCAATTTCTGATTCCTTGGTGGTTCGAAAAATCAACTCACTTACAACTCCCTCATTGTAAAAAAACCGTCTTTTCTGACACAACTTCTGCTCAGTTTTCGGATTCATCACATTCGCTTTGCCTGGAATAGCTAGAATTTGATACATCAGTTGCAGTCGGGATCAATACTTGGCTAAATTACTACCTATATATCATGGTATTGATATTTGAGCGCTATGGAAACCGTAAATTTTGCGAGCTTTTTTGATTCAGCGCATGCTTTATCGGAGCAAATAGCTGATTAGAAATAGGAGTTTCCTTGTCATTTGACTTTCTGAAACAATATGGCTTTTTTGACGCGGTAGGTTGTTTCGATACTGGATACTTTCCATCCGATCATGATGTTCATGAGAAACTGACTTGATAGTAGCGATGCCTAATCTGATAATCGCTCAAGTCGCGCTGCAAAGTGAATCTCGAAAGGGGTAGCTTCAGAATTACGGCTCGGCGGAGTCTTTA